CACTAAAAAATCTAAAATGAAATCTAACGCTAGGGCGAAATATTTTAGATGTTTAACATATAAAAACAGAGGCATCAGTTTTAAATGCGCAGTCCACGTTTATAAAACCATTTGCAGACCGATTTTGGATTATGGAGCATCAATTTTGTGCCACGTAGGAAATCAAGCCAGACGAAATCTTGAAGTTGCCGAGAGAACGTGTTTAAGATGCATAACAAAACTAAGAAACCCTAGAAATCCACTTTATAACCCATCGAATCAACTTCTTTATGAGAAATGTAAAATAACACCAATTACAGACCGAATAGTTGCACTTGCTAGTAAAAGCAATTTAAAAATAACTGAAAACCATAGTCTCACATCGCTATTTCTTTCGGATAGCAACCCTTTACCTAATGTCAATTAGTTATTTGTTGAAGGATATGAAGTAAATTATAATTATTATATGGATGAGAGTTCAGGAAGGGCAGGAGGACCTCGGTCGAGAGCCCGTTCCGGAGATTATAATAAATTTAAAATATAATTGTAAATTTCAATTTTCGAAAGAGACGACTCTACCGCGATTTTATATCCTATGAGGAACCTGCTCTGAAAAGAATGTTCAACGAGCATAATAAAAATATCCAAAAACTAGTGCAGCAATTCAGAAGCGAAAAATACTTGAGCCTGTGGAGGCCTATGACAAAATCAACAGAAGCAAGGGTAAAAACTACTGGCAAGAAGTCCGCAAACTTTCGAAGTACCAAAAGTCGCCAGAAACCCAGGAGCTTATTGACCCTACGGATGGCTGTTCACACTCTAGCCCGGAAAAAATAGTAAACATCCACGTTGAACACCTTGAGAGGGTGAGAGAAGACCTTTATTATTATATGCATCCCCAAGAAAGATTCTTCTCTATCCGACCCTACGAACTATCGTCCTATCTCATTGCTACCCGTAATGGGGAAGCTTTTCGAGGTACACTTGAAGAACAAGCTGCTCGATGTTGTTGCAAGGAGGATTCCGTCATACCAATTTAGATTCCAACAAGGTAGATCTACATCTCATCCCTTGGCAGTGCTTGTCTCAAACTTCCAACTCGCACGTTACCAAAAACAACAATCCGCCGCAGTCTTCCTGGATGTTCGGAAGGCATTCGACTCCGTATGGCACAGAGGAGTGGTCTGAAAGAAGACCGTTGGTTAAAGTGAAAAACTACTACTCTCACAGTTTCACCGCTCAACAAGGTCTCCCTCAAGGCTCTCCCATCTCGCCAGCACTGGTCAACGTCTACTGCCATGACATCTACAACGACAACCCAGACGTCTTCAATCCGATGTCTTACGCCCTACTTTATGCCGATGACACAGCAGTGGTCCCGCACAGTAAGGATATTCCATCATCAATCCTAAGGCTGCAGATACTCATCCAAAACATAGAGGAATGGTACCGAAAATGGCGTATCCTGATAAATCCTTCCAAAACCCAATTCTTCATCCCCTTCCTCCTTATTCGCGTTGCTCCTCCCACAATAATAATTCAATCTTCTCCTATCACAGCTTCACCAACTTGCAACTACCTCGGCATTACCTTGGATAGAACCCTTAAATTCTATGCCCACGCCATCAAGGTAAAAATGAAAGTCAAAAACCGCGCCAAACACTTCCGCTCACTCTCATATAGAGGCCGAGGGATATCCACCAAATGCGCTACTCACATATACATCTCAATATGCCGACCTATTATCGAATATGCCTCATTAATCATGACTGAAGCGTCGAGAGGATCACAGTACCATCTAGAAGTAGCAGAGAGAACAGCCCTGAGAATTATCACTCGCATTAGACACCCTCACAACCCACTTTTCAACCCTTCCAACGAACTCCTTTACGACCTTACAAAGATTCCTCCTATAAACTGCCATTATAGACGACTGTTTATATCCCTTAAAGCAATTATGAACTTCCACAAAAACGCCCTAAAAAATTTCATCATCATTCCCCTCTCCCTTACCCACTGTCCCATAACACGGCTCACACTGCTTAAAAAAAAACGAATTCAAAGTCACGGGCAGGAAGACTAAGGTCTATAACCCTTTTGGACTCTTTTTTTATATTTGTTTTCTATAATATATAAATACATATTATGTATTTCTTTTCGTATTTGTTATTATTTTTATATAAGTCCAAATAATATTGTTTTCTTCTTCTTGCCTATCATTTCAAAAAATTTATTTCTCAAAAACTAAAAGCGATTTTTCAAAACGGCTTGTTGCATTAAAAAGAGGACACTTTAATTAATAATTGGTGATATTTCCACAAGGATCCTTCAAGAAATGAATTTTATAGCGAATTTTGAAAATTATCGATGAAAATTGCAACATCGAAAATTTTATCAAAACTTCAAATATTGTTTTCTCAAAAACTAAAAGTTATTTTTCAAAACGGGTTGGTTCATTGGAAAGAGGACACTTTTATTAACACTTTGGGAAATTTTCATACTCATATTCCAAGAAATGGATTTTATACGAATTTTTAAAACTTAATCGGCGAAAATTGCAAAATTCGAAAAACAGGATACTTTAATTAATAATCGAAAGTGATAACAGCGACAATTCTGTTAGTAATGAATGTAATGATGAAGTACAAGCGAAGAGAAGGAAACTAGACGAAACTGTAACAAGAGATTTTATATACAACACCTAAAAGAGATACTAATTCCTGTGAATGGTGGAATACTAACTACTAGTAGTAATAGGTTTAAGCAACAATGTAGCACTGAAATACAAGAAAAAACTAAATCTAACGCACAGCTAAACCTGAAATTTTCTAGTTCTAGGCATCTCTCAAGATGGTTAGGTTAATTCTTAAAATCTATTTGTGATAAATTTCAAAATAACATAACTTTAAGTCAATATAATATAAATATATCTATGATAAAATTCCCAAAAACATACAACAAACACAAACAAGTTTGAGTCCTTGTATTTGACCATAATAATATAAAACATTTAATAATTTATTTCACCCCCGCTTTTATAACCAAATTACTCCAAATTATACTCCTCATTACTTTGATTTAAATCAGTAACAATAAACCAACTAGGAACCTGCCATAAACGAAACACATTCAATTCCATATCTTTTTCTTGCTCCTTCAACAAAGCCAAATGCTTCTTAACACCACATTCAATTTCTTTTAAAGACCTATACTGTTGCAACAACGTCCCGTTTTTTTGCAACGTCTCCTCCAACTTTGATTTTAAAGCTTTAATCTCAGCTTCGCGACGAGAAACGGCACAAATTAAATTTGTCATTGCGTCGGAAATCGGTTCATTTTGTTGTTTTTGACCTCCACAATTATTTAGAGGCATTCCATCTAAACTTGATTCGTCCAATGAGGTACTAAACGATAAACAACTACTCGTTCCGGCAACGTCTGTTTCTTGATCGGAATTTAATTCCCTTGAGATTGCTCCGGCTATTGATTGTTGATGTTGTCGACTTAAAAGGTGTTCGCTTTTATTGTGGAGGTTATGAAACCATTGGTCGCAAGTTCTACAATATAATTCTTCGTTATCTTCATCCTAAAATTAATTTATTTATTAATTATAAATTATTTTAACCATTAAAATTTTTTTTACATCAATATCATCAGTTGCATCCATATCACTTTCTGATAACACATTATATTTAGCCCTTTTCTTGCGTTTATTAGCTAAATATAATTGGTAAGCCCCCGATTGTCGGTATTCTCTAAATTCTTCTCTATATCTTCGTTTTTCTTCCTCAGCTTTCTCTAAATAAGGAGTTTTTTCTTCTAAAGTTAAAGAGGACCACTTATTCCCGATTAATTTAGTTTTTTCATGAAACGGTAAATTAATATCTTTTAATAACTTCCTTTGATCGTTTAAAAATAAATTGTAACCAGTAGCAGGGGCTTTTGGGGGTAAATGTAATAATTCGGGTTTTCTTTTTCTCCCTTTAGGCCAACCACCTCTCTTTTTCACCGGGGGTTTCTCAACTTCAAACTTAACATTACTTTTTACATCGATACTTTCTGGTTTGACTAAATCGAAGGATATAGGCTCTTGAATGCTTTGAATATTTATCACATCTATGCTCGATTCGCTCGTAAAACCATCACTATCGGCTACAACCTCCTTATTTTGTTGTTGTGAGAGTAATTGTGTTGCTACGCTGTGGAGCTCTTCTACTGATAAATTTAAATTTGACGATAACGCGTCGGTTACCGACATACAAACTAATCTAAAAATTAATTGTTAATTTATTAAACACTTAAAAATTTGGGTACTTACCCTTTACTCGTTTCAATTAAAATTCCATTTTTTAATAAATCATTTGCTTCTTCCATCTTTTCTAACCTCACTTTTTTTTTCCGGGTTTAAGGCGATCTTTTAGATTTTTTTCATCATCCGTTGCGTTGAAGCATTTTTAATTTAACATGGCCGTAAATTATTAATACAATTATTATTAAATAATTACGATTTAGGAAATTGTTGCGAAAATAAGGTGGAAAATGGATAAAATGTAAAGGATTTCGGTGGTGGCGCCACCTGTTATGATTTTACGTAACTTAATTAAATCTATCAATAAATATTTTTTGATACAATTAATTCAATTAATTAAAATCAATTTAAATGTTTATTCTTAATTATTTATTTTGATAAATACGATTTTTTAACAAACGGAAAATTAGTTATTAAAATAATTAAAAATTTGCTGTAACGCCATCTTTTAGGATTTTATTTTTTCTAACCTCATATTTCTTCCAGGTTAAAGGCGATCTTTTAGATTAAAACATTATTAATTTAACGTGGAAGTAAGCTATAGTTTATAAAATTATTATTAAATAATTGTGATTTAGGAAATTTACGAAAATAAGGTGAAAAATGTAAAGGATTTCGATAGTGGCGCCACCTGTTATGATTTTACGTAATTTAATTAAATCTATCAATAAATATTTCTTAATATAATTAATTCAATTAATTAGAATTAACTTAAATGTTTATTCTTAATTATTTATTTTGATAAATACGATTTTTTAACAAACGGAGAATTAATTATTAAAATAATAAAAAACTGGTTATAGCGCCATCTTTTAGGATTATATCTCTTCTAACCCCATATTTTTTCAGAGTTAAAAGCAATCTTTTAGATTCAAGAATTATTAATTTAACGTTGGAGTAAACTATTGTTTATAAAATTAGTATTAAATAATTGCGATTTAGGAAATTTGCGAAAATAAGGTGGAAAATGTAAAGGATTTCGATGGTGGCGCCACCTGTTATGATTTTATGTAATTTAATCAAATCTATCAATAAATATTTTTTGATACAATTAATTCAATTAATTAAAATTAACTTAAATGTTCATTCTTAATTATTTATTTTGATAAATACGATTTTTTAACAAACGGAAAGTTAATTATTAAAATAATTAAAAACTTGTTATAGCGCCATCTTTTAGGATTTTATCTTTTCTAACCTTATATTTTTTCCGGGTTAAAGGCGATCTTTTAGATTGAAGCATTATTAATTTAACGTGAGAGTAAACTATTGTTTATAAAATTATTATTAAATAATTGCGATTTAGGAAATTGTACGAAAATAAGATGAAAAATGGATAAAATGTAAAGGATTTCGGTGGTGGCGCCACCTGTTATGATTTTACATAATTTAATTATATCTATCAATAAATATTTTTTAATATAATTAATTAAATTAATTAAAACTTACTTAAATGCATTTCTTAAATAATTTTTTTGATAAATACGATTTTTTAACAAACGGAGAATTAATTATTAAAATANTAAACATTTGTTTTTAAAGTGAGTCCAAACATGGCACATTTATCTCAAAAAAACCAAAAAGTTCGAACTTTCAACTTTTAATTTTGACATATTTGTCAACTTCAAAAAAAATCCTTTAAAATGAGTCCAAACTCGACATATTTAACTTTAATATTAATGGAGATACAATCACTTCCGGTTTGAAACGTCAACGTCAATTTTGACATATTTGTAATCGCCGTGAAAAATCCTTTAAAATGAGTCCAAACATGACGCACTTATCTCAAAAAACAAAAAAGTTAGAATAAAAAACACTAAACCCGAAGTTAGCAACAAGGAAGATAGCAATTTAATTTTTAAATATTAATACCAACCCTAGTTTTTTATTTTTTTTTTATTAAATTTTTGTTTTTGTGACAAATATTGAGACATTTTATAAAAATTAAGAATATGTCAAAATGACATTGACATTTCAAACCGGAAGTTGCTTATATCTCGAGTAATATTGGAATTAAACATATCATGTTTGGACTCATTTTAAAGGATTTTTCACGACAATTACAAATATGTCAAAATCGACGTTGACATTTCTAACCGGAAATTGACCATAGCTTCATTAATATTGAAGATAAATATGCCGTGTCTGTACTCATTTTAAAGGATTTTTAATGAAGATTACAAATATGTCAAAATTGAGGTTGATATTTTACACTTGAAGTCAGTTATCATATAATAGGCAAATTGACAACTTCATGGTGTTCTTTTATGATATATTCTTTATTCAAAAAAATCGCTAAAATGAGTCCAAACATGATGTTGCTACATATCGCTATGTTGTATATTTTTATTGCACTAAAACTAGAACTAACACTATTAGTTTCTAGTTTTATATCTAGTGTTCGGAATTCGAGGTACTTGGAGGTACTTGACCTTGATCTTTTAGATTTTTTTTTCATCCGTTGGATTGAAGCATTATTACTTTAACGTAGGCGTAAATTGTTAATAAAGTTTTTATTAAATAATTGCGATTTAGGAAATTGTTGCGAAAATAAGGTGGAAAATGGATAAAATATAAAGGATTTCGATGGTTTCGCCACCTGTTATGATTTTACATAATTTAATTAAATCGATCAATAAATATTTTTTGATATAATTAATCAAATTAATTAAAACTTACTTAAATGCATTTCTTAAATAATTTTTTTGATAAATACGATTTTTTAACAAACGGAGAATTAATTATTAAAATAATAAAAAATTTCTTGTGGCGCCATCTTTTAGGAGTTCACCAAAGCCGATTTGAAGTTGTTTATTTAAACGTCAATGTCAATTATTTATTAGATTTATTCGTTTTGAATAAATCTAATTAAACAAATACGATGTTAATTACATCATTTGAGAAAGCTGTATTAAAACTTACCCAAAAGAAGAACGTTGTGACTCAAATTCGTACTCATCGATGGTGTCCAGACGCCGAATTTTTCCAACAATTTAATGGGGCCGTAATAAATGAACCCCCGGGGTTAAAGATACCACCGCCGAGATGGAACGATAAAGTAGAACCAGCTAACGTAACCATACAAAATTTGGCGATTAATTTTGGGCCACAACATCCAGCCGCTCACGGCGTTTTACGATTAGTTACTCACCTAGATGGAGAAGTAAAAAAATTAAATTAAAACGATATCAAAAAAGTATTAATAATTTTTAGATTGTGACTCGCGTTGTACCACACATTGGTTTTCTTCATCGTGGTACTGAAAAATTAATGGAATATAAAACGTACGTTCAAGCTTTGCCATATATGGATCGTCTGGATTATGTTTCTGTGATGTGTAACGAACTTACATATTGTTTAGCAGTTGAACGTCTCCTAAACATACAAGTTCCTCGTCGCGGAATGTACATAAGAACATTAATGTGCGAATTAAATCGAATTTTAAACCACCTATTAGCTTTGGCTTGCACGATTTTGGACGTCGGAGCTATAACCCCGTTATTTTGGATGTTCGATGAGCGTGATAAAATCATGGAAATTTTTGAAAGGGTGTGTGGGGCGAGAATGCACGTCGCTTATTTTAGACCAGGAGGTGTCACTTTGGTAAATAAATATTTTTAACAAAAAAAAAAAAAAAAATTTTCCGATACCGGGAATCGAACCCGAGCCTCCTGGGTGAAAGCCAGGTATCCTAGCCACTAGACCATATCGGAATGATATAAAACATAACCTATCTAAAAATTATTTACTTCAAATTAATCATTTTTAGGATATCCCAATCGGTTTATTAGATGATATACACGATTTAATCCGAAAATTAGGTGAAAGAATGGATGAAGTTGAAGATTTAGTAACGGATAATCGAATTTGGATCATGCGTACAAAAGATATTGGGGTGATTTCAGCCGAGGAAGCGATTAATTGGGGATTTTCGTAACAAAAAAAATGATTTAATTTAGTTTTTAATCGATTAAAATCAATTTTAATCAATTTAGAGGGGTTATGTTGAGAGGATCCGGTATTAAATGGGATTTGCGTAAAACGCAACCGTACGAGGTTTACGATGAATTAGAATTCGATGTTCCAACGACCGTTAATGGGGACTGTTACGATAGATATTTGTGTAGATTTTATGAAATTAGACAGTCGATTAGGTTAATTGATCAAATAATTAATCGTATGCCCGAAGGGGAGATAAAAACGGACGATCATAAAGTTTGTCCGCCGAAAAGACACGAGATGAAGGTAAAAATTTTGTTTAAAAAAGTACTCCTATAATAAATAAGAAATTCTTTTAGAGCTCTATGGAAGCGCTTATTCATCATTTTAAATATTTTTCGAGAGGTTTTGAGGTTCCACCTGGCACTACTTATGTTGCTACGGAACATCCAAAAGGTACAATTGGACCGCGTTATGCATCACAAATGAATTATGTTGAGAAATATAAGTCTTCTCAGAATAGACAGGCTCAAAACTATAGAAAATTGTCTGGTGCCTATCCACTTTAATCACAGAACACTGATGACAGCTATCACAAGCACAGAGGGCATACAGGGTGCTTCTGTAAGTCGTGGCATAAATTTAATCACTAAAACTAAAGACAAAATGATGACGATTCGTCTAAAAATTAAAGAAAATAATCTCCAGTTTGATAAATAACTTCAGGTTTAAAATGTCAACCTCAATTTTGATATATTTGTAATCTTCATTAAAAATCCTTTAAAATGAGTACAAACACGGCATATTTATCTTCAATATTAATGAAGTTATGGTCAACTTCCGGTTAAAAATGTCAACGTAAATTTTGACATATTTGTAATCGTAGTGAAAAATCCTTTAAAATGAGTCCAAACATGACACAAAAACAAAAATATAATAAAAAAAAAAATTAAGGTTGGTATTAATATTTAAAAATTAAATTGCTATCTTCATTGTTGCTAACTTCGGGTTTAATGTTTTTTATTCTAACTTTTTTGTTTTTTGAGATAAATGCATCATGTTTGGACTCATTTTAAAGGTTTTTTAATGAAGATGACAAATATGTCAAAATTGACGTTGACGTTTCAAACCGGAAGTGATTGTATTTCCATTAATATTAAAGTTAAATATGTCGAGTTTGGACTCATTTTAAAGGATTTTTA